CGTATCGATGACAACTGATCGCTTCACGATACCGCAAAGTCATTAAATCCTTTTCTGTATCGTCCGTTAGCAAACGCACTGTCCTTATCAATTACGAGAAATCCATACTTTTGCTGCCAACATTTACGACACAAATCGCAGAAATCTTCGTATAGCATGTCGATATTGACATGATCGTTGTACACGCGTTTCAGGTTGGTTCCATCCTGCTTAAACAGAATTAACAGATTTGCATTGTCAGGTATAAGATGCTTCGGTATCTTTGCATAAGTCTGACAGAGGTAGAAGCAGTCAACGTTCGCGTGGCGACCCATTGCAAAGTACTCCCTTATCGCGTCTTGCTTATCGCATGCCACGTCATCAAAGATAAAGATTGAATTCGGAAGCGCCTCGCTCGGTGGAATGATCTCGCTGTTATTGGAGAATGTAAAATAGTTTATTTCTTCGATCGGTGCTAATAACTTTTCGAGATATCGATACTTTGGTTGTTGCAGAGATGTCGAATAAACGTATACGTTTTCGAAGCGTACGCCGTTCGGGCTCTCCAACAAACTTATCAGTACATTCGTCTTGCCGCAATTCGACGGGCCGCAAATGATTGCGCGAATAGAACTCGGCAGCATCTTGCCATGCTTGCGCATCTCTTTATTGGTTTGCACTTTACCATCGAGATTCGTCACTTTGATAGACTGCGACTGGTGCACGAACCGCATATTTTCGTGTTACACACGAAACTGGAAAAGATGTCGCGAGCGGGCCTATTTATAGAACTACGTAGAGCGTAATCGTTCAGTAATCAAAATGTTTCTTATCGTGTCGAATGATTTAACCTCCAAAGAATTGGAATATATACCGAAAATTGTTTTATTGCGAGAGTTTAAGAATTGTATAGATCTGCTGTGGGATAGACTACCTGAGCATATACGAGCGGATTCGGAGGTACAACAACACCGTCGGTGTCTGAAGCATTACAATTTGCCGAGTCATCAAACGCATATCGACGGTCCAGCGCCGTTGATAAAGAATTGTAGTGAATGCCGTTGAGAGGCAGAGATTTGTTAAATAAAGCGATAAACGCGCTTCCTTTCGAACTGCACATTCCCGGTTGCCAGTTTTGTGGACCGGGGACGCGTTTGGAGAAACGATTAGTTAGAGGCGACAGAGGTATTAACCCATTGGACACGGCGTGTCGCGAACACGATATAGCGTATTCGCACAACAACGGTCTCACTGAACGGCACGCGGCTGATAATATACTCGCTGAAAAGGCGCGGAAACGCATTACCGCGAGAGATTCGTCTCTCACAGAGAGAGCCGCCGCCACAGCTGTTTGGGCGGCTATGAAGGCTAAAACGAAGATGGGTATGGGCTTGAAAACAAAGAAGCGAAAGAGTAAGAGGATACTTCCGATAGCGAAACGCGGCGGTATCCTGCCTGTTCTTCCGCTGCTGGGCGTCCTCGGGTCGTTGGTCGGTGGAGCGGCGGGAGTCGCCAAGGCTGTAAATGATAGCAGAGCAGCGGAGCGTCAGCTGGAAGAAATGCAACGTCATAATCGCGTCATGGAAGGTCACGGTGTTTATCTCGCTCCCTACAAGCGTGGACGAGGAGTAGTAAAGAGAAAAAAAAAAACGTCGATGAGACGTTAAAAATACCAACGGGTGTAACTACCAACGTGCAACTGCTACAACTTGCAAAACGTATGCGCATTCCGTATTTCAGAGGTATCTTTATGCGTACGACATTACCGGTGGAAGGAGTACATCGAAACGAGAGCGGTATCATGAATCTAGACAATGCAGAGGGACCCGGTACGCATTGGGTAGCGTACGCGAAAAGGGGGAATCGTGTCATATATTTCGACAGTTTTGGTAACCTCCGGCCGCCGAAGGAACTCGAGCGATATCTAACAAACTGTGTAATCCAGTACAATCACATACCTTATCAACGTTACAATCAGAGCAATTGCGGACAGTTGTGTCTACAGTTTCTACGGACGAGTGATAAACAATTTAAAGACTGACATTGCGCGGTTTAACTCAGTATTCGTTCAAACATGTCGCTGACGTTTACGCTGACGGGCAAAAGTAGTGTTCTAGCCGTGAGCTATTTTCCGGCGGTAGATTTGAGCGATGATGATTACGTGCTCGGTCTGACTAACTTTGAAACATACTACACTCTACCGAATGTAAATTCGACAAACAACAAGTTTTATTTCGACAATGAGGAAATTGGATTCCCGAAATGGGATTGAGGATTCCCGAAGTATCGTACGAACTGCGCGATATAGAGCGGTATTTGAAGCGTGAAATTTTACGTTCTCGTGGTGTAAAACGTAAGGAGGATGACGAGTATCCACTGGTAATTCGCGCCAACAACAATACGATGAAGAGTGAAATCAAATGCGCATATTCGATAAATTTCGCCAAACCTTACAACATTGGACCGCTATTGGGATTTTCATCGAATCGCGTGCTTGAACCGCAACAGTGGTATGAGTCGGACGTGCCAATAAATATCATCAACGTAAACATTATTCGTATCGAGTGCAACGTGACCGCGGGTGCGTACAGCAACGACAAGTGCGTGCACACGATACACGAGTTTTCACCGATTGTCCCACCAGGATATAAGATATCAGAAAGGCCGACGCAGATCATTTACCTTCCGATCGTCGTACGGAGCATTACGGATCTGACGATTCGCGTGGTGAATCAAGACGGCCGGTTGCTCGATTTTCGTGGAGAGGAAATAACCGTTAGATTGCATGTACGGAGACGACGGCGCTAATGTGAGATGCTTGTGCTGAATGAACAACCGAAACAGACGAGAGATTTTAACGGAGAGATTTCATCTAGAAAAAAAACTCACTGCGTCCAACGTTGCATTTTTAAAGTCGTTGGGTTTTATCATACGAAATGGCTGATATCTTGAACATTGTCGGTGAGCCGATCTTTGACGATCGCATCGTCAAGTTTGAATTTCATACGTACAATCCATACGCCAATACAACGTTTGGACATAGCGACGAGATACGAATACCTATACAGCAGCAGGATTTATACACGTTGCCATGCGAAAGTTTTCTCTACATTGAAGGAAGATTGACTGTGAAGAAGAAGGATGATGAGACGCCAACAACGCTTGGAAATAATTGCATAGCGTTCATGTTTGATGAAATTCGGTATGAACTCAACAGTGTGGAGATTGATCGCAAC